CATGCAGCTTCCAGCACACAGGAGGTGGGAGGGGGAGAAGTCACGGCTCAGTTGCGTGGATCAGAAGTTGAGCTATTGAGCTCTGTAGACAATGGATTATTTTACAGCAAAGCAGATAAAGAGAGCCCGGAAAATGTGAAAACTGCCCAAGAGCTCCCCCTGCTGTCTGAAAATGAGAATAGAAAATATTTTAATGTAATGTTTAATTTTTACTTTACAGAAGAAGTAAATAAAAAAAAAAATGGGGAATGTGGATCCCAATACCGTACCAACATCCACCCCACCTCCATGTTTTACTCCTTCTCTTTCACCTGAATCTTCCACCCTCCCCCACCCCATAATCCCCAGCAGCAATAACACCATTACATCCCCCTCCTCATGAAGTTTCGTGGATCCTCCTAAAGCTGGCCACACCGGCTCCAGTTTGATGGGACTACCCAAACAATGCCTTCTATTGTGTCCAGTTGGGAAGGAACGCGTACTACATGGTCATTAGTAGGTCCGCTGGCAATTGTAACATCAGATCAGATATACACTATAAGGCCAGAAGTATTGGGACGCCTTTACACGCACATGAACTTTAATGGCATCCCAGTCTTAGTCCGTAGGGTTCAGTATTGGGTTGGCTCCGCCCTCTAATAGCCCCCCCCAGTCTTAGTCCGTAGGGTTCAGTATTGGGTTGGCTCCGCCCTTTGCCGCCATAACAGCTCCGCCTCTTCTGGGAAGGCGTCCACAAGGTTTAGGAGTGCGTCTATGGGAATGTTGGGCCATTTGTGAGGTCAGGTGCTGATGTTGGGGGAGGGGCTCGCAGTCTCCGCTCTAATTCATCCCTAATGTTTTCTATGGGGTTGAGGTCAGGACTCTGTGCGGCCAATCAAGCTCCTCCCCCCCAAACTCCCCCATCCATGTCTTTATGGGCCTTGCTTTGTGCGCTGGTGCGCAGTCATGTTGGAACAGGAAGGGGCCGTCCCCAAACTCCTCCCACAAAGTTGGGAGCATGAAATTGTTCAAAATGTCTTGGTGTGCTGATGCCTTAAGAGTTCCCTTCACTGGAACTAAGGGGCGGAGCCCAACCCCTGAGAAACAACCCCC